GGCAATGTTACGGTTCGCTCCGGCTTCTATTTGCAAACAATTGCATCACTGGTAAGCAATTGAAAAAACAGCTATGTGAAAGCTTGGTATTGTCTAAGATTTCGTATGGGCTAATAATTTATTACCCCTGCCTAACTGCTGCGAATAAAAGACGTCTACAGATAATGCAAAATACCTGTAGTAGGTACATAAATAATTTGAGGAAATTTGATCATATATCGCATACGTATTCTGACCTCAATTGGTTAACTATAGATAATCTATACAAATATTCTGTTATAAGTTCTGTGCATCGTATTTTACTATCCGCATCACCCCCATACCTGTTTGAAAAATTTATTACCAGATCCAGCACGCATAATATTAACACAAGGCATCAGGCTTTCTTTCTACTGCCAGTCCATCGTACTGTTTTATATTCAAGAACCTTTATTTACAATGCCGTTAAATATTACAACAGTATTAATTTTCATTTTAAAAATATTGCGAATATTAAAACTTTTAAATTAAAATTGAAGTCCGATCTTCTCTCGCAAACATGAATTGCCACTTATATTTTTTTATTGGTTAATGATGGTTGATTTTAAAAAAAAATCCCTTTGATCACAGTTTTGTTTGTTTAAAACAAACCGATTTAAATGTATGTACCATAGTTATTGTCATCCACTTCTATGTAATTTCGTATAAATTATCAAAACGGGGTTAGGTGGAAGAATAGCTCACGCTAAACCTCGCCCCTCGTAGTGTACTAAATGTTTAGTGCAATAAAGACCCTTTATTATTATTATTATTATTAATTTATCGTTTTGAACTGCTTAGTGAGTCCACCAGTTCCACTTCTTCTTCTGAGTCGTTTGGACTACCATATTCAAGTTGGCCTGGGCTTTCTACATCCAAATTCGAAAAGTTGCCAATGGCATTTTCTTCTGTTGTTATGTTATTGTCTATGGCCAGGAAATCATCTACTTTCTGGGGATCTGCTACTCCTAAATGTTTGGCATGTCGCAGTAACTGAGCAAGTGTCGCTAAGGGCAGATCGTCTTCAGCATCGCAATAATTTTGCTCAGCAAATTCTGAGCTACATTCACTTTTTCTGAATCCAGCTTTACCAAAACAGTTTTTAATTGTAGAGGAATTTACTTTATTCCATGCTGTTTTTATAAAATACAAAGCTTCTAACACATTGATAGACTTTGTAAGCTCAGATAAGCTTTGACCATCGTCAATTTTTGTTAAAATATGTTTTAAAGTCAAGTGCCGATAATAAAATTTAAAGTTCTGTATGACTCCTTGATCCATGGGCTGACAAACAGAAGTTGTGTTTGGCGGTAAAAATATAATTTTCACATTTTTCATTTTCATATCACGAGGATGAGAGCATGCATTGTCTAAAAATAAAAGAACTTGCCTTTTTTGGATTCTCATTTTCCGGTCGAATTCGACTAACCACTCAGACATGATTTCTCGGGTCATCCATGCCTTTTTGTTGGATTTCCAAGTCGCTGGTAGATCCTTAATAGCAACGTTTTTTAAAGCACGGGGACGAGCCGCTTTCCCGATCACAATCAAATCGCATTTTTCACCGGCCATATTTGCACAGAATAAAATGGTTAGTCTATCTTTAGACAACTTTCCACCCACACATGTTTCTCCTTTAAAGGACAGAGTTTTGTCGGGCAATGCGCGAAAGAAAAGTCCACTCTCATCTGCGTTGTACACATCTTCTGGTTTGTAGCCAAGCAACATGGACGGAAGTTTCTCCAAAAATTGTGACACATCAACTTGATCTACTGCAGCAGCTTCGCCAGATATGCATTTGAAACTCACACTATGTCTCTTGCGCCACTTTTGCAGCCACCCGTCGGACGCACTGAAATTATTATAGCCCAAAGTAGTGGCGATTTCTTTAGCTTTTATTTTCACTATCGGCCCTGAGATTGGAATGTTCTGACTTCTAGCTTTCACAAACCACTCAAAACATGTTTTGTCTATAGCAAAACCTTCCTTTTTTTAAAATTCCTTCTTTTGATTTATATTAGTTCCTGATTGCCATTTACTCCTGATATCTTCCTTATTTTTGGCAATTTCAGCTGCTTGCGCTTTCCCAATATTAAACCTCTTTGCCAAATGACGAACTGAAACACTTTCTCTGTCTAATACGTTAACAACTTCCATCTTTTCCTTTAACGAGAGCATCCTTTTTTTTGGTGCCATTTTACAGTTACAATAATAAAATACGTAACTCAATCAACTACGAATTTGCCTGAACTGAAGACAAGCCACAAGATTACATACAGGCTACCCAACGAAATGCGTAAATGGGGAATCACCTAATATAAATCGGGGAATTACCGAATTTTATGTATGTAGATATGTGCATTGCAATAAGCGGAACTAAAAAATCGTCCGGGTATTAGAGTTTCGCGTCCGCTTATGGGAGATTTTTTGATCACATACAGGAAAATCTAGTGTCCGCGTCCGTTTATAAGAGCGTCCGTTTATCGGAATGCATTTAACATTGAAAATTGATGGCTGAAATTCGGTTCCAGGAACTTTGTCCGGTTAAAAGAGATGTCCGCTTATAGGAGCTGTCCGCAAGGAGAGCTTTCACTGTATATCGATTATAATTAAACTTTATAACATTAACGTTAGAAAGTTCGTTTAATTCCTAGGTACTTACTTTTACGGTTTAATATGACGAAATCGAGTTTCAGATTTTCAAGTTGAAGTGAATCATAGCCTAAGCTCTTTGCGTTTAAGGTATGCAAGATATTTTACGCTGCTATATAAATTAATATTTTTTATTACGGTCAAACAGGCGTTGGAGCGCGGGGCCTCCAAATTCGCGGGGCCCGTAGCATTTGCTACTCTTGCTACGTGGCTAATCCGGCACTGGATTTATGAGGTCCTTTTTGAAACATGGCAATGTTTTACTAGACACCAAAAAAGGATTTAAAAAAGCTACCAAATATTTAATTATTAAAACTTTACCATTTCACAACCTGAAATAACCTCAAAAAGTGGTGCTCAACATGCCAAAAGAGATGTTAAGGTTTGAAAATTAAAAATACAAAGAAAAATTGAACGGTCGTGTCAGGGGAACTTGCGGCATGCGCTAACAACTAATATGATGTAATGTCTGCCCGTGGCGTCCGTGTATTGGACAGTGAGATTTAACGCCCAAAAAGCCTATCCACAAAGTACAATTCACGATTCGGTCGTAGATAAGCATTGCTGATTGTGTAATAGGCGTATTATATATCTATTAGGGCTTGAACTTTCCACCGTTTGTTGTAAAATAGTACGCGCTACATATGTATATGTATATGCGATATACCATACATATATTCATTATTTATGCGACTGAAATGTGCAACGACCGTTGAACTGAAGCGACTGCACATACGAAACTCTCTCAAATTCTGCCATTTCGGTACACCGTATTTTTAGCTTATTGAGTTATGTTCCAGTTTTAGTAAATTTTTGCTATGCCCCGCGTTTTAGAGCACAAGTTGAAGCCACTCAATCTCAATAGTTTGTCTATTTCCAAGCGAATATTTACTTATAGCATAATACTACAATATTGTGTACTGAAGTAACTCTATTTATCGTTCAGGTTAGTTCAATTCTGATCCGAAGTGTCGATGTGGTAAATTAAATCTAGCAGTACATATTGCGCTACTTTCCGCGAGCTCATCGCGTCTAGGCTAGGACATGAAGTTTTTGGTTGCGCTTACCGACAGTTGTCGGTAATCGGTAAGTTCCGATGAGAACCAGAATAGTACTCTGGTTAAAATCCTAGTAGCCTAAAAAAGTCGCAGCGCCGTTATCAGTGGATGAAGGATTGTATTCAGCACAAACTAGACCCTCTGTGAAAAAACGTCGCCTCTCCCCGATACATAGCCTGGTCACGTGCTCGATCCCTCTGCCGAGCATAGTTTTTAGTTTAGTTTCAAGGGCTAATTAATGAACAGAGACATCTATGATGTGTAAAATATGTATGTCTAGTTGGTACATAGAATTACCAAGTTTAGGAGCATATAGTTGTACTAACATCAAAAAAATTAGACGGTTTCCCCCTTACAGCTCCAACCAACGAGTATTTTTACCTATAAAATTTTTTTCAAAAATGATCAGGATTCCCTGAAACGACAGAAACGAAGTTGAACTGCTTTTACTTTTCTCGTTTTAGGCCCTTTTCTCTGCCACCTCTGGACCGATTTTCAAAAACATTGCGTCCTTGGTATAAAAGTAACATTGTGTAAGCATTTCATCAAAATCCGAGAGGCAAAAAGGGAAAAATAAAGTTCCTTCAAATTTTTGACATTTCAGAGGAATTGAAAAACATTATGGGCGTAAAACATTGAGGTTTGGGTGAGGGTGTATCTAAATTCTTTGATGTTAGTATATTAGTACACTTTCAACCCTAGTCATTCTACGCACCTATTAGACATTCTTCAGACATAGATATCCCCGTACATTTGCACTTAAAAAAGTCCCTGCGTTTTCTGTCTGGCCCGGTGCCGCTACCTCATCGTGCAGTCAGGTATTGGGGAGAGGCGATGTTTCCAGATGATCCGTTCAATTTCTCTGTTATTCTTTTTCGTAACTAGTTTGTTTGTCAGAGAGTCTAACTCAAACATGTTGCTTTCATCCATCCCAACAAAAACAGACAACCATGGACAGCTCTTTCGTGCATTTTTAGCGACTTATCAGCATGGTCTAATAGGCATGTTTGAGACAACGAACAAAAGCAGCAATTCTCTACCCAGGATACAAGTTTTATGGTATTGTCTTATGTCGATAGGGTTTAACTTGTGCTGAACATAATCTGATATGAGCTGATTACAGCGTTCCGTGGGAAGTGCATAGTTAACCTACTTGACGCCATTTTTTGTATCGTTTGATACTTTTACCCAATAAAAGACGTAATCACCAGCATATCGCGTAAAAAGCAATGCATCCTTGTTTGTATAAAGGAACTTTATTTGAAATAAGTAGCTATTTACAATCCTGTTCCTTATAAAAAACTATAACGTCAAACATAATATTAACGACTACACCACCAGCTTCGAAACGACATATAATAATTTTGATTCGTTTATTTTTTAACAATTCCTTTGTATTCGCATAATAATAATATAGAAACATATACGTTAAAACTGATCCAGTCGAAATAGAAATTCAAGAATTAAGATTAGTCGAATATAAAGCACAACAGCTAACAAAAGTCAAAATAACAATTCTTTTCTAAGCTAGTGTTAGTTAAGTCGATGTTTATTATCACGTATATTATACTAAGCATACGTGATACGAACAGTAAAAATATCTGCATTAAAAAAAGTACACTTTTTGAATTTGAGGTTTTCATTTATTTCGATCTAACAGACAATTTGATGTGTCTCCGTTTTTCTCCTTGACGAGTTTTTTTGGTTATTTATTGTAAGAGGCAGAGCGCTTCTTGTTAGTCAAGGTATAGTAGTGCTTTGAAGACATTAAACTGTACCAGATTGTTGCATTCCCAGGCAATGATAACCTCCAGGTCTTTCATTAGAGAGGAAGTCGCTCCAAGTCTTCTTCTCTCCAGCCCACTGGCTGTAGATCGGATTGATCGTACGAGATAGGGGGTCGTTAATATATATATACTACAACCAGTTCCAAACTGATCTCTGGGGAATACCCCCGTTGACATTGTGGGGAAGGAGAGGAGGTCAGGCACCCATCTGCAAAGCTTCTTTTGGGAGGTCATAGGATGGAATTATGCATAAAACGGCAGCATGCCACAGCTGATTGGAAGCTTTCGAGATATCTTGACTTGACGTAAGCTATGAGATCCTCCATTGATCACTGGTGCCAGAAACCATACTGCCTGTCGCATACTCAATTCTGTTTAAGATGGTTGTAAACATGATTCTTTACACCTAATAAAAATGTAATAGAAAACTAAATATTTATAATCGACAACTCTTGATTCCAAACTGCTGTCAAAGCAGTGGCCCAGCAACAATAACTAGTACAAATATTATTTTTGGCTGATATTTTTGACTTTAAATAACTGTTGCACCCGTTCAAAAGGAGCAAAAATTAAGAATAGGCCTCATTTCGACTAGACTAAACGGAAATCTCCTGAATCTGGACTCTTTTCTTGACAGTACCCGGCGTCATCGGCATACCGTGAGGTCTCAATATACCCGTTTGGTTTACTTCTTCCAGATGAAATGCAACACTGCTTGAAGTGTTGCCGTTGCCTCGCCCAGTGCCTGGTGGGGAGTCATCTGAGGTTCCTGAGCAGCAATCCACCTTCTGGACTGCAGGGGTTGAAGTGGCTGGGGTTGTACTCGTTACGTCTGGATAGCTGCAAAGCACAAACAGTACATTACATGCCTAGGTTGAGAAGTAAGTCATCATCGGTTGAGCACTTTGAGCGGCGTAGAGTGCGAGATAAACAATGACTTTCTCTGTTTAGAATTTGTTCTACCACTAGCACTATTTATCAATGAATTCGGTTTGATTAGATTTATATATTTTCGTCATTTTTCGTTTAGCCTATACGTAAGTCAACGATCATGGCGTTTCATACTCAATTTAGAAATAATTGAAAACATCTGGTAGCCTGCGGATTGGCCAAGATTTAGAGTGGAGTACAGTGTTAACACCTCTATTTTAGTTGTTTTCATTATGCTAAGATTAAAAGCTAAATAATTTCAATACCTCCCTGGTTATAGGAATACTCAAGAAGGGTAGCCAAAGTGATGAGCTATACCTGAAATTAGGTATTTCGAACATTTTGGAGTATAAAGCTTGTTGTCTAACTAACATAATGAAGTTAACAGGACACAATTTCATTTACCTAGGTGCCTAGGTGCTTTTTGTAATTATTATTTAGACCAGGGAAAAAGCTACTTCTCAGTGGGGCATTGCAATCAATAATTGTGACATCTTCCGGTTAGTGGTGGTAAAAACAAGTATAATTTAAGTTCGGTTAACACCGAAATTGTTAAAGTCAAACTACCTTCTCTACAATAGTATTTCTATTCTATGTTGGTATTCTTCAGATAAAAGGCAGTGGCCGAAGAACTTATGTTTAAGAAAGAAATCTGGAGAAGTACACGGTTTGGGACTGCTTAGTGGGATAAAAACATGAAGGCACATAAGTGGATACACTTGAACATAAAATATCTATGCATGCATGTATCTTCCATATAGATATTAATATCCATAAATTGACTGAAAAAAACTGGGCTCGTAGAGACAAAAAGCAATAGTCCAATTAAAATTCCACCGTGGCCGGCAGAGGTTGTGAGTGTGTTCGGTACTATTTGAAAGGTCGTATTCCAGTTTTCCATCCATATATACTGGCGGTAATACTCACTGGTCAGTTTATTTATAGAGCAGTTACCATACCTAATGCTATGATGTGTCGTCAAACAACCTTTTATGATATTCCAAACACATAAACTCACTATGATATACGAGTATACGTGGACATGCATCAAACAAGCAAGCAACACGTTTTCAGCTCAGAGATTTTATTAGATGCTAGATTTTCTTAATGACGGTAACAATGCCATGTTAAATTCACGAAAGCAATTCCGAACACGCAAAGAGATGACTTGCAAGGCGTATATGCAGTGCTTCTTTAAAAGGTCCTCTGTACTTTCAAAAACGAGGTATTACTGGTATGTTTTTTGGATGTTGTATCACATGTATATAATGAAAAACCATGTTTCCGTCGATCTGCCTGACTATCTGTCTCTGTCTGTCTGCCGGTGTGTATCTGTATGGTTGATTAAATTTTCACATGAGGTTATGACTATGCCCAGGACGAAAAAGCTCGCCCAAAGTTTGACGTTTTAGACGCTCCATATCAAACGTGATGTTAGTAGATCCATTCAGTCGGTTATTCTACGCACCCATTAGACATATTTCACACATTACAGGTTTACCCGAACATTTTCCCTTCAAACTTTGATAAAGAAATGCTTTCGATACGCGACCCTGCTTCTGTTTTCTGGGTTCACCGACAGGCGTGCCGGACTCCATGAAAGTCTTGGAATTACTGCCGCGGTGCTGCGCTCTTGCGTTGCGTCTGACTCGTCATGCGGTCAGGTATCGGGAAGAAGCGACATTGCCAGGTGGACGGTACTACCGGTAGGGCAGGGCGTTACATGGGAAGTGTAGCGTCAACCTGACGCCTCTTTTCTGAAGGAGTGAAGATAGCAAACTGTTATTTGGAATGACGAAGTTGCGGCATGGCATACATACTAGACAGGGAATTCTGATATTAGGACTTTCCTTTTATGAAACTACTAAAAAACTAATAATACAAATATAACCCCTGAATTTTATCCTGTGGTTGATGTTCATAGAATTCCATCTGGCCGAATAAAAACCACATTGTGCGACGTTTCTACCATCACTGTATTTTTCAAGTACAATTGTACTTCCGGGCTGCAAATGTTGAGCGCTTTTAACTCAGCAAGCAACTGTTAAACGGCTATAGCATGGTTTCATTATCCTTTTCATGATCTTGGTAAAAATATATCGGAATATGGGAAACGAAACGTTCCATGTTAAGGATCATCCAAAACTTGTCATTTTTTTTACGGAATATCCTATTAATCAATTGTACATCCAGATAAACCATCCATAAGAAGAAAACGGATATAATATACTATATAAATCGTTTTGATGATCACTTGTTGAGCGATTCATTGCGCAGCCTGCGATTTCGCCATTCAATGAATTCATACTCTATGGTTATAAAGTAATCATAAGTAGCTCTAAAACGAAGTATCAGATGGCTACACATTATATTTAAAAGAATGTCCCATTTGGAAATTTTCTACTGTGAGTTCGACGCCGACTTCATCTTGCTAACTTGACCGTTCAAAATAACCCAGAGGTGGAGAGGCTTTTTGAAGGGCATTGTATAATATTCCATCAAGTATTCCACTTGGTATTCCTGATATTCCCAACACGTGTAAAGTATGCTCGGCTACTTGAAAATGGCGATAGATTGTTTTATCCGGTTATAGGTAAGATGTAATGAAGTCTGCCGCTTTGGTGAGTTCTTTAAGCAGTAAAGCCTTTTTGTTTTTCAAAATGATTACTTGATTGGAACTAGCCGCCGACTCTTTGATACTCCAGGGTAGGGATTGAATGTGAGAGATCAAGAAGGACGATGTATATTTTTTGAGCTACTCTCAAAAAAATGCTATACGTTCAATGTTTATGGCAATTCACCATCATGAAAGTACCCATTCTTTTCGCCAGCAATACATCTACTGTCAAGGGTGAGTGTCAAGCCTACCTGTGTATTCGTCTTTCAATTCGTTTGGCAGACAATGGCGACGAGCTGAATTCCTGAAGTTGAATTTGAGTCATTTCCTCTTCTTGTGCATGTTTATAACTAATTGCTGTATTGACATAAGTCTGACAGCCCTGCAAAGTAGTAGCTTCCATTCCATCGTAGCTAAAAGGTTGGAGCTGTTGTTCGCAGCTTTGTTTGTATGTCTCACCCGATGAACTACTGCAACTACCTGCAGACCAACGAAATCCAGTTGTAGCGTGAGTAATTCGGACATTATCAGAAATATGTAACGTTTCAGTGTCCGTAAAGATCACTTTACACTGCATCACATGTAAAACAACTTTTTATTCAAATTAGGAAGAAAGTGTATATCCATTTTATTGCAAATATTACATTTTGTTCAGTTTGGGCAACTTTTTCCAAAAAGTAAAGACTTCCAGCAATGACAAAGCATTTGGTTGGATCATATTAATATCTCGACTAATTTGAGGACAACTGTACCTCCAGGGAAAACGAAAGCGACGCTTTTTTGAAAGAGGTATTCATGTAAAGAATTTTTTATAATCGCTTTGAACGAACGTGAAAGCCCCACATGAAAGCTATAAAGTTGAATTGTGAAAATTACAAAATTGAGATATCACGATCTTCTTATGTTACATGACGTATTTATGACTAAGTCCGGTCCGTCTGTCCATCGCCTGTCTGGTTGGTTTCGCCTCCTGTGTGGCTCTAAAACTACTGCTCGGATTTCACTGAAATTCCGATTCAAGATTGCTATCATGTAAGGTACGGAAGAGCTGGTTTGAGCTTCTCATTTTTCAGCATGATACTACTATATTGGAAATGTCAGAAATTCTTAAAAGATGGTGTTGACGTCTTCCAGTTTTATGGTTGCTTTGATGGATAGATAAATAAAGTTAATTCTCAAGAAACATCTTGTAGCTAGACTGTTAAACAGTTTTATATTCTTCTTCTTAACCACATTTTTAACTACATTTTTGCGATTTGGAGCTAGTCATTTTCAGGTAAAGCTTGCTGGTAGCCCTTATTGTTTGAACTAACTCTGATCCAGCCGTTTTTCTGATTTAAAATACTTTGGAACCTTATTCTGGGCTACTTTGCATACAATTTTGAGAAAAAACGCTGGTAAATACTTTTTCCAGCAGTACCGTAGTTTTCACTTTATCTTATTCAACTGTTGTAAATTTACAAACCTGTTTCTGCGAATACGTCTTTTCGCTTCTCTTCCTTTTTGCCTCGTTCTCTTTGGTGGTAAATCCCAATGAAGATGAGTACATTGAGTAACACCAGGAAGCAGCCTACAGCGATTGTTATAGTTAAAGCAGTTGTATAGCTCTGATAATGGCCTGATGCTATCCTCCTTATGATGTTGTCGGTGTTCCGATTAAAGCTTGGTGCTGTTGAGTTTGGAGGACACTCTGTCGTGGTCGCCTGAAAAAAACAACATTCCATATGCTCCAAAAAGAGATGGACGTATATTCCACTACAGAGTATGGATGCATTTTTGTAATACGATCATAAATAACGAGGAAGTACAGTGGGCAAAAAAAAGGATTGGCACACCGCATTTTTTTCAATAACGAAAAGATTAATTTCTTGGTACTAAATTTATTTAAAAACTAACACCCAAATAGTGGCTTCTGATGCCAATCGATTGAGCAAATTAATGAAAATTCGGAATGATGACTTCGCGCAATCCCAGCGTGTTACGGGAATAATCGGAACAATGAACAAACTGTTACCTGGAAGACAGATAAATCAAGTAAGTGTCAATGTACTAAAGAAGATCACCTCTGAAATTTAAACGTTTACTACATTAAAGATCAGTCAATACATGAGGTTTTATTCGCCAGACAAGCATGGGGGATTATCGTCATGTAAGTCACAGGATAAGCTCCAGATGGATCCATCTGGATGTCAGTTTCTTTTTGAATGGATTAAGTATCAAAAAAATCGTCTGTTCGTTATTGAGACTTAATACTGTGCAGCCTGGATAACGGTAAATGAACTAGCACTTACTGGCGGTTAGATAATCTTAGGATCTCCTGACCACAAAACACATTTTATGACCTAAGAACCATGATATCAGACAAAACAGACCGCCTTTCTCAGGATCGTTTGACCAGACAGCTCGGACCCGTGGTTCGAATTTATCACATAAACATGGAGGGCATAAGCTATGCTAAAAGCCAGTACCTAACGAAACTTAAAAAAACGACAACGTCGACTTGGTTGCTGTGCCGGACACTCATTGCGATACAGAGGACTACTACAGAGGAGAGGGAAAATACCAATCTATGAGCTGCTGCACATATGTTAAGCGAGATACTAAAAACGCTTCTCTAGTTTCTGCGTCTACAGACGATGAAATTCATAACCTTGTCTTAAAAATATTACGGTATTCAATATTTATAAGCCACCTGTCAGCTCAAGTTATCCAAACGCAATTCCACCTGATATATACATCTTGAACAGTGGAAATACAGAGATAATGAAGCAAATTAAGACACATTAGTAAAATGGACAGAAAATGAACACTTACAACTTGTATTTGATGCTAAGGATCGACACACGTTCAGATCAGCTGCTTGGAGACGGGAGTACAACCCCGACCTGTGATTCGTCTCGTAGAATACCGGAGACATGCCTCTACCGGTCACACGAGTTCTAACCGATTTTCCGCACAGCCGACACCGTCCAGTGATAATATAGGTATGAACTTAAATTTACTTCACCACTTATATTCCTAGTCCAGAATGGAACTTCAAAAAGCCAACTGGACCGGATTCTCCACAGACCTAGGTAAATGGCTGAGATGGAAGAAAACTAGGAAGCGTACCACCCACTCAATGACAAAAGACTGTAAGACCAGATGACATAGCTTCAAACATAGTAAACATATCTATGGACCAAAAGACAAAGCACATACGATTCAGATGAAGCAAGAACTTAGAAGCTTGAAAAATGAAGCTTCAGAATCTGAACACACGACCTTTCTCTAGCGAAGACATGGTAGAGGCTATGAAGAACGTCAAACCAGCAAAGCTTCCAGCTTTCGGCTGAATTCCTTATAAATTGCAGAAAGTACACAAAAGTATGACTGGCATTTTTCTCACGAAAATCTTGCAGACTGGTAGCATCTCAAACGCTGTAAGGTAATATCCATTCTAAAGCTCGGTAAGCCTGCTATAATCCAAAAACTTACAGACCAATAATTGTGCTAGAACCACTAGAAAGGCTTATCTAGAATAGAATTAGTCCAGAATTGCTCAGCGTGATCCCTGTCGAGCAGGCAGGTTGTTGGCTTGTTGACCAGGTATTGTCACTCACTATATGGAGGCGGGTTTCTAGAGAAAACTGTAAACTTCTGTAGCATTTGTTTACCGCTCGATGGCTTATAACACCGTATGGAGAGAAGGCGTAAGCCGACAACGAAAACAGTGGGAACCAATGCAGAAGGGGCATTCAGTATTATCAACGCATGATATGACAGCAAAATAACAGCATGGCTTGCTGGTTTTGACTTCCCACGCAAAACATGGTCTACTCTAAACAGGATTTGAACTCATCATGGTAATTTCGCTTAGTTCCTGCATAAATGGTTATCTCGTCAGTGTGACTGTGGTTAGAACCACACCATTGATCAATTATTTAGGATTGCTCCACAAGAGCCTATAATGGTATCCCCGATGACTTCCTATTCACAACTCCAGAGTCGATAGATTATATTAATAGTGTTAATGTTTGTTTGCAACTGTTCAAAGTTTGTTATATTAGCGTGTTTAATGATTCTGTCTTTTTAATACGTCTTCACCGACAAGCGATAAATAAATAAAATGAGACTTAAACAGAAAAAATGGGGTGTGCCAATATTTTTTGTGCTACTGTGTGTAACATGTTCTGAGAGGGATCATTATTTCAGTATTTATTTACTTTGAACATATTACATACACCTTGGGAAAAACATTATTATACATTATGATGAGGAAGAGAGATGGAAATATACAAAAGTATGTAGGTGCGTGAAAGACACTTGATTGTAGGATCCTATCTGGCAGCGTCGGAGTGTGACGGACAACGGGGTAAAGTAGTAGAGTGATAAAAGAGAGATGGCAGAACGGGCGCTGGCGCGTGCTGCTTAGAGGGATGCGCTCAACAAATGCGATTTGTTTCTCCCATTCGCAGAGTTGCCGATACCAATATGTCATATTTCTAAGAAATCTAAGTCTACCCAAATTTCGGGAAAAATAGCTGCGGACTCCACATAAGAGTATTCCAAAAATGAAAAAAGTTCAAACTATTAAAATTGTATTAATGTTTCATGGTTCAAATCATATTTCATGTTTGTATATTGTTGTATAAATGATTTTGTAATCCCTATTATTGTTGCCAGTAGAGATACAACAGTATTGAGAGAAATCATGGACCGCTAGATAGGGCTACAACTACGATATGACTATCAAATAGTAGTGATAAACAGGGTTTGTTTATAGCACAGTTGCCTGGTGTGGCGAATTTGCGCCATAGGGGCGATTTGACAACTTTGAAGGACAACTATAACGGGTACTATGGTGCCCGGTATTCGGGAATCTGGCAATACCTGATGATTCCTAACGTTTATTACGCCAGATTGTTTGCTGACTTGCGCAGTACAACATGACAATCAACGTGACTAAGCACCTAGTAACCCTGCTTTAAGGTGTTATATTTAAAGAGCTTGGGGCAGTTAGGTATCTAGGTCACATTTTTTAATGTATTTCGAGAAATCCATAATGTTGAGTAAATACTAGAGATCACGTTTCTTGCTTAGTTTGCTGAAAATTCTACAATAGACGTACATTTTGAGAAACAGAGATTTGGTGACGACAAAATCGTAAAAATATAACGCATTTTCGAAAAATAATTTCTTTGTTGAAAAGACTGGCTTTTTTTTATATCGAAACAGCCGCGTAGGCAGAAGCCTAAATGCCGGAACACCGCGGCTGCTATGATGATCCCAAAGAAATTTTGTTAATACGATTTTTGAACTGCCCAAGGTTAGTAGAACTGGGAAAAGCTTCCTCCGTAGATTGTTCCACAATCTAGACACCCTCGGGACAAAGGAGCGGTCGTATCGGCCAGTTCTGGATGTACGAAGTTTGACACGGTTAGGATGGGACGCTGAAGTCAGGCGGGTCTGTCTGGCAGGCACATCGCGCGGCGGCATCATGGAAGAGAGCTCTGAGGAGCAAAGCCCGTTGGTGTAGCGATAGAAAAGAGCTAGATCGCCGACGGCCCGCCGGTGCGAAAGAGTCCCGAGACTGTCTGTTAGAGAAGAGTCATCGATCAGTCGGACCGCCCTCCTCTGGACAGCATCGAGCATGGACAATGTAGTCGGGGCGGCAGCACCCCAAATCTGTGAGCAATACTCGAGGCCAGGCCTTATCTGGGCCTTGTATAGAGTGAGAAGGTCATGCGGAGAAAAGTACCTCTTAGCCCTAAACAAATAGCCTAGCTTTTTCCCAGCAGCTGCAGCTATTGAAGAGATGTGTTCGTGTCAGATCAGGTCCTCGGTGATCTGGACTCCGACCAGCCGAAATGAATGGCTCTTTGATAGAACTCGACCGTCCATCGAAACTGTATGAGCGCTACGACGCTTTTTGTTCGTCAAAGTACAGTACTGTGTTTTGGAAGCATTGAACTGTACAAGATTGTTGCGTCCCCAAGCAGTGATAGCCTCCAGGTCTCTTGTCAGAGAAGAAGTCGTCGCTAGTCTTCTTTTTTCCAGCTCAGCGGCAGAGATCGGCTTGTCACTCTGAATCCCTGCATGCAGAGTGCTGTCATCAGCGAAGCTGTGGATTGGGTTGATCGTGCAGGAAAGGAGGTCGTTGATATGTAAGAGAAACAGTGTCGCAGCCAAGACCGATCCCTGGGGAATACCCGCGTTGACGTTGTGGGATGAAGAGGAGAACCCGTCAATTACGACGGATATCTTGCGGCCAGAGATAAAGTCAGACACTCATCTGCAAAGCTTTTCTGGGAGGCCGTAGGATAGAAGTTTGCTCAAGAGGGCAGCGTGCCACAGCTGATCGAACGCTTTCGTGATGTCAAGAGCAACGACATGAGCCGCACCATGAGACTGGATGAGTTTACTCCACAGTTGCGTGACGTAAGCTAGGAGGTCCCCTGTGGATCGTTGATGCCGGAAACCGTACTGCCTGTCGCTAATCAAGCTGTGACGTTTGAGGTAGTCCAGAAGCTCGCGATTTATGCACCTCTCCATCACTTTACTTATAACAGAAAGCAGAGCTATAGGCTTGTAGTTGTAAGGGTCGGTTTTAGATCCTTTTTTTGGGATGGGCTGTACATGAGCAAATTTCCAGTTCTCTGGGAAGGCGCCGGATTCATAAGATATCTGGAAGAGACGCGAAAGAACCGGAGCAAGCTCAGCT